ACAAGCTAATTTAATATCAATTCAAGAAAATATTAAGTATATAATGCAAATAATTAGTGTTACTAGTTTTAAATTTTTTCTATCTAAAAAAAAACTAAAACTACAAAATTGAGTTAGTAAACATTAATAGGACTAACTAAGTTAAAAATTATTAAAAAATTTTTAGTTTCTAATTTTATTATTACAAATTATAGTAATAATATTAAAAGCTTATAGTAAAATTTTTATTCTTTATATTATATAATGCAAAATAATAGTATTATGTTGCTTCTACTTCTTTAAAGAAAGCAACTAACTAGAGAGACTAATAACAGTGAATATACCAACTTATCACACTATTAAAAATATCTGCAATACCTATATTATTACTATATAGTTATCTCAAAACTGAATGAACTATATTATACTAATATCTTACCAAATTGATTAGAATACTATATAGCTCTTCCTCAATAATAATTATAAACTTCATATAACTATACAAACTTTCAACTCTGCTAAGCTAAATTATTTCGTATAAAAAATCTTCTTAACTCTCTCTCATCTATTTCTAACTTTCACAACTTATACCCTTATTTATATCCTACTAACAACTACATTTCATACAACTCTTATGAACACAGCTTTCACTGGATTACTTATCTAAATGCTATACTATTTTCTCAAATTATATCACAAACTATTGAACAAATTATCACTACTTTTCTATTGGATCTAAGCTCTTACAAAATTACTAAACTCTAACAACAACTACTCCAACACATCTGCTTATCCTTTTCCTCTCATACCTCCTCCAACCAAACTAATATTTTCTCTACATTACAAGACTTTATTCCTAAAGCCATAATTAATACTATAAACTTATACACTAATTTCTACAAAATAGCATCAGATATAACTATCAAACTACTGTTTAAACTATCTTACAACCTGTATGAACAGGCTTGAAAACTATATTGCCTCAACTTATCTAACTAGAAAAACACATATAATATTTCTTGATACTTTATACCTCAACCTCCTTTTCTAACTCCCAAAACCTACTACTATGATCTCATATACAATTCACTTTAACTACATCTGCAGTCTTCCTAACCAACAATATACAGACTCTAATACATATCTCCTAAAAGAACTTGTACTTTATAAAATTGATATCTGGTTCTCTAAGTTGATCAAATACAGTACTCCTACTAACAATATCTTAAATATCCAAATCTAAGTGAGTTTTAACTATTCTAGTAGATCTAGGTTGTAGATAAATTAGTTAGGTTTTCTTTCTATAGTCTAAACTCTACTCTTGTATTTAAATTTGTAACTCTGAGCAACTCTATGTAGTTTCTCTAACAAGTTTGTCAATAAAGGTAAAAACAAAACCTTACCTTAAAAAAAAAAATAACAGTAAATACTTTGTGTAATGTTTCTTATTACTATATTTTATCAAAGTCTTTAGAGCATTTTTGTAAAACTTAACAAAGAAAATTTAAGGTAATTTGTAATTATGAAAGAAGTAACAATTAAAGATATATAAAGATATCAATAAATATTTATTTCAAAGTATCAGAAAGTTATTTTTATTGTGAAAGGGTATAAAGACTTGATAATAAAATCAAGGTTCATATGTACTATTTTTATACTTTACAAAAAATTAGAAATGTAATAGGCTATATATATTACAGGAGCTATATATACTACAATAATTACTAATAAAATATATAATATAACTAATATATGTATGAAATATATAATAATAGTATATATGCTATATATATAATAAATAATAAAAGTGTTTCAAAAACTATAGGTAATAAATATATTATATATAATATATCTCTTGTAGTAATCATCAGCTAATCAAATTGTATGATTATTGCAAAAAAGCTAGAACTTGAGTATTTTGAGATTCTGTAATTGGATTTTAATAATTCTTAACTTATTAGATCTGCTTTGGTGAGCTGATTCTAATGTTATGTGTTTCATCTAAATTGGACTAGTAGATCAAGAGTTATTAAGGATTTTATATTTTTTCTTAATGTTTTATATGTTAATAATAGTTTAACAAAAGAAAAAATTAATTAATTTTTATAAGCTATATGCAAATAAGTTCAAGAATTTGCTAGACCAATAAAAAAAAATATTAAATAGCCAAATTATTCAAAAAAGGTTATATCAATAATTTGATATAACACTTTATATACATGTTTTAACATGTCATATTCTATTATTTATAAAAGAACTATATCAACAAAATCTTTATTTATAGTAGTTTACTATATCTAGTATAAAAAAAAAAATTATAAGTATATAAGCTATAATTATTTTAAAATATAACATATCAGATATATACAAATACTAATTCTAATATATACTAATTTGATTTCTTTTATTTAGATTAAATTATTTTTTAGTAATATGACTATGAGAGAAGGAATTGGAAAAAAAAAATAATCTGCTATATATCAGATTTATAAATTTGAAAATTGACAAATATATTATAGAATAAATAATTTACCTATTACTTGTTCAAAACAAGTAATAGAAATACTAAAATTTTAATAATAATTATAAATAAAATATATTAAATATTGTTTATAAAACTAGAATCATATTTTAATTCATTTTTATTCTGTAATTGCTAGTATAATTAATTTATTATTTAACAGTTTCACATCACAACTCTAAAGTATATTTTAGTATTCTATATGATATATAATATATTTTATTATCTACCTGTTTTGTAATTGTTTTTTCTTACTAAATAAATTCTATATTTTTTCAATAATGTTACTATTATTATCTTTGTCTTCTATTAATACAAAGGTTTTGTATCTATTTTTATTTTTATTTTTTTTTCAGAACTTGTATTTCAATATAGTTCTTATTTAATTATACCTATTATATCCTTTAAAAATATATGAATATCTTCATAAAAATAATTGATAAGAAAATTCAAATTCATTTGAAAAGAAAAAATAAAACAAGCTTTCTGAAAAATTCTATTGAATATGTTTTAGCCCTTTATTTTTTCAATAAAAACTCAGTTTACTATTAATATTCTGAAGAAGTATAGCATGAAAATAATTTATAGTTTCTTCAGATATCATAGGTAAGTATTTATAATGTAGAACAATATGATTCATACAATGTTTTGTGGTTTTATAGCTACTTAATGATGATTTTGAAAAGTATGAATTATTACAAAGATGGCATAAAAAGGTTTAAGAGGTGCTATAATAAACATTAACATTAGTGTGCATAACTATTTTACTTATTTTAAATGCCATATGACTTGATCACCTTGTTATCACTATATCAGTATAATATCACTTAATTTTTAATAATTACAATGTTTCAAACTAAAGATTTCCGCTTATATGATCAGTTTTAGATCAATTCCAGATAAACCTGAGTTTTTTAATCTATTTCAGAACACTAGAGCCTAGTAAGCTTTATAAAACAAAAAAAAGTTTATTCAAATTAGATTACTAAATCACTGGCAAATCTAAATTTTATTCATAAATCCACATAATCTCAAAAAGTAATTTTCCAAATTTTTTACTATTGTAAACTCTGAGTCCGATTTGCTAAGTCAGGAGGCCACAAATGCAAGTGTTTTGAACATTTTTAATATTTTGCTTATTTTGAATGTTTTGCGTTTATTGAACATTTTGAATATTTTGAAGAATGCATATATATTTTGAACATTTGAATAAAAATATAAATAAAGGCTGTGAAGGCCCAACTATATAATAAGTTTCGTACTGCACACGTTTCTTAGTAACTCCTTGATTACAAATATTATACTAAGTGGCATAGTAGAATTGTCTTCGTTCATCCAATAATTACCATAACTCCCGAAGTGATTAATAACCCAGTCCATAGTAGTAAGAAGAGATGACCTAAGCTTAAGAACATCCACTTGCCAAATATAACTGCCTTTTTCGACAAGGTCGTCCAACTCCCGGTTGTCACTATGAGGGTGGGGTAATATAAATCACCTTAATAATCAAAAATCCTGGCACAGAATTTAAAATCACGGAATTGACTACCATCCAGCGCTGCATACAGTACCCCCTTGAATAGTATCGGGGTATTATTCGGTTGTAAATTTTGACATTTTTGACAAGTATCCCGGTACTAATCAATCTCAAATATTTGAAGTTCAGATATTTAGGGTGTGGCGAATTATCATGTTACGAATAATCTAGTGACGAATATTATGTGACAAATAACGATTGGCTATATGTTATATATCAAATCCTTATTTGTCACATGATAATTCGCCACACCCTAAATATCTGGGAGCCGGTCAAAATCCCGACAAGGTCAAAAGCTTGACAGATTAGCCTGCATTAGGGTTAGGGTTAGCATAGTGTTAGTCAATTTTGTCGGGATTTTGACCCAAACCCAAATATCTGAACTTCATAGTACTCCCTATCTTCCAGTACCATCCGGGGGGTACTGTATGCAGCACTGTACAGTATTTATTGCCGCAGAAAATATTGTCGTTGGAATCATGTGAAATTTCTTCAATGAAAGTAACCTCGTGTAACCTTAGTTAATTGCCGTACAGAAATATATACACATGACCGTCATATGTCACAATTAATTGTCTTTCTAACTTTGTAACTTAATTTAAAATACTTAAAATTTGCGTAGGTAAAAAAATTTTTCGGTCAAAATATAACTTAACCGGTATTTATCAATATCATCTTTTTGATTATAATAAAAAAAATAAATGTTGAAAGTATTAGAAAAGCATTCTACTTTTGTTATGTTCGGCAAATTTTTGCTATCTAATGATATTTTTTTATTATGTTGCAAAATAATAATAATAATAAAAAAAAAAAAACAACAATAAAAATAAAAAATAAATAAAATAAATAATCTTTGTGATGCATTAATAGAACGATCTCAAGGTATTTTTTATTATAATAATAATTACAAAGGATTCTTTTAACAATCTAATAATCATCGATATATGTTTAAAAAAAAGAAATATGAGCAATAGTTCAAGACATTATTGTCCCGAATGTGACCAACAATTAAACGATAATTCTTGGTGGTGTAAACCATGTCAACAACGACATTTTGAAGAAAATTTCGATAATTGGACATCTGGTGATAAAGATATTGATGATTTTATTAAAGAAACTCAATTAAAAGCCGAAGAAGCTGATCAATATTTAGAATGGATTCCATTCTCTGCTTTTATTAATGTTAATAAATCTGATATTTCTGAAGCTGGTTCTTTATTCACTGCTAATTGGGTTAGAGGTCCTACTGATACTTGGGATCCTAATGAAGGTGAACTTACTGCTAAAAGAAGTTTACTAAAAGTTGCTTTAATTTTTATTGGAAACTCTCCAACATTATTTCTAAAAGAGGTATATATTATATATATATTTTATATTTATTTATTTTTTTTATTCATATATATTTTTATTATTTAAATATTTATTTACACTTTTATTATCAGTATATACAAATATTAATTATTTCTTGAAATGTTTGTTAGCTTAAAATTCATTATCATGGGCGTACACTTAATGGCCTTATCATGCGTCTCTTTGGCGTCACTCGTGAATCTGTCACAAATAATCTTATGATGGTTGCTGAAACTGTGGAATGGGATTTACGACATTATGTATCTCATCATTTTACTCGCCTATCTTGGCAAAACAAAATTGCTATTTTATATACTATTACTTGTGCTCTTGAAAATCAAAAAATTGGCCTTCAACAACAAAATGATTATATTTCTGCTAATAAAACTATTAAATCTCATATTGAAATTCCATTAAATGAATTAGGTTTAGGTGATTCAAAAGATTTAATTCCTGTAATTGGTTATTATAGATATGATCTTCTTCCGTTTATCGCTCCTGAAATTATTGGTGGAGAAAAATATTCTATAAAAGTTGATACTTATACTTTTGGAATGCTTATGTGGGAATTCTCTTCAAATAGACCTCCTTTTTATGATCGTCCTCATGATGCAAAGCTTTTTAATGAGATTTTTGAAGGATTGAGACCTAAACAACGTGATGATGTCCCGGATTGTTATAGCGATTTAATGCAATTATGTTGGAGTAGATATCCTAATGAACGTCCTACAATATCTGATTTAGCAAAACGTTTTAGTGAATGGCATCTTTTTAGTGTTGACAAAGAGCAATTTATTAATGCTGAACAAAAAAGAATTAGACGTGTTTTGGCCAAAGGTCTAAACCCTGATCCTGGTCGAATGGCTGCTCCCCCAAAAGTTCATCCTCAAGCTATATATACAAGTAGATTGTTAAAATTCCCCGCTCTTCCTATACCGAAAAATTCTCAAAGAAATTTACCAAAAAGAGCTAATTCTTATAATGACTCCAATAATGGACGTACTCAAATGAGTACTAAAGATTTGGCTTCAATTCTTATTCGAGATGAAAGTAAGTTTTATTCAAATCTTTATCAATGAAAATTATTATATATTAATGTTTTTTTATTTTAATATATATATAATTATATATTAATTTATATTCAATTCATATTTATATTATATTTATATTTATATTTATTTTATATTTATATTCATACTCATATTTATATTATATTTATATTCATACTCATATTTATATTATATCCATGTTCACTTCATATTTATATTTATATTCACATTCACATTTATATTTATTTCGCATTAATATTCAAAGGTTTTTTTTCAACGGCTGCACTTATGCAACGACGTTCGGCTTATCCTGAACCTGAAATTGAACCAGAAGATGAAGATACTTTAAAACAATATGAACTTTCTATTCCTAATAATTGTAAGTAATAAACTCTTTTAATTTTTTAACTTATTGATTTTTTTAAAACATTTTTTTAGTGGATTCAGATGATTGTGAAACACCTGATGATAAGAATGATAAATTACCACTTTCAGAACTAAAATCAATAAGTCTTTCTGATAATGATTATTCTGCTAATGGAACTGAGTGTACTAGTTCTACTGATATTGAACATGTAGAAAAATAGATTTTTTTTTTTTATAATTTGAGGTGTTGTAGAATTTTTTACTACAATGTTATATATTTTATATTATATTTCAAAAATTAATTAATAATTATTATAATTATACTGTTATTTAGACTAAGGAGTAAAAAAATTAGTTAGAATTATAAGTTACTATCTTTTTTAAAAATTTATGTGGAAATTCGAATCTTACATTTAAGTTTAATTGTATAAATAAAAGAAAGAATTTACGTTTGTATACATATAATGATTTACAAATATATAATATCAAAATAAATTTTTGTTGTTGTTATATTAGAGTTTAAGGTTAAAATAATATATATTTTCTAATATAATAACATTAATAACTTTTAATCTTTTTTAGATTAGGTTGGAAGAAGGCTAGAAACAAGTATTTTTTATTTGACTAATTACTTCTTCTCACTACCTTCTCTATATAAAGACATGTTTTTTAAAAGACCCCATTCTCTTCTATATAAATTTAAAAAATTATTATTTTTTTAAAATGAATTTATTTACTAAAATAAAACAAACTTACATCTTTAGAAGATCTTCTATATTTCTAAAAAAGTTATTCAATCTTATTCAAAAGAAAATATTTTTAATTATAATAAGATAGCACTTTTTTATTATCTAGAATCTACCAAAATATTAGCAAAAAATCCTATTACAGTATTATAAAACAAAAAAAGCAAAAGACTATATACTATAGCTCTAATACTTACTATAAGTTTTACAGAAACAAGTTATTTATTAACTTTGAGTAAAGATTTCTTGCCAACTAGTTGATCACATTTGACAAAAATTTTATTTGACTTTTATAGTTTTGTAGAATTAAAAAGATTTCATTGAATTTGATTACGTAGTTTGTCGCTCAAAGTTCAAAATACTGAAAAAAATTAGCCAATCAAATTTTGCATAAATAGGAGAATTTGGAGGGGTCGCTGTATGAGTTGCATACTGAGCCCTTTTGATAATTCTACTGCTTTTTTTGTTGAGGAAGGATTGTTTATTCCAAATACCAAAAGTAATTTATATACGTATGTTATTTTGAGAAAATTCAGAGATGTCTTTTAACAAACATTACATTGCATGGAAGTAAAACATTTTCTGCTACGTTTCGGACAATTATAATAATGCCTTTTGTTTTTTGATACGTATTCTAATTCTATTACTAAAATTTGTCAGTTAAGAATAAATGGTAAATTGTTAGGTATTAAATGCAATAAAGAAATTAGAATTTTTATGAAAAAATAAACTGAATTAATATTATACAAACCAAAAAAAATATAAATTTTATATAATTTCGAGGAAATATAACATATTATATTTTAGATTTATCAGTCTTAAGTGAATAACATCCGATCCTAAATGACTTTTCCAACTAAATAGTATGTTAATACCAACTTTTTGGATGTTAATTCGAATGGGACTTAGAGTAAATTATACTGGTGAGTGCATTTATATATGCAATTTTATATAATGTTACAATTAATTTACTGTAATTCATTTTAAATAATAAAAATGTTGATGTTGTAATTCTGATGCGAACGAAGATAATAAAACTGGGTTTAATAAGTACGATGAGCCACCAAATTTATTGTTTGCAATCGGTTTTGCACAGAATCAGCTAAACTAATAAGATACCTGGTAATTTCAACATCATATCTTCATTAAATGTTGCTTCTCTGTTCTTTAATTTACGTGCTAAACAACCAGCTTGTAAGTCAAATTTATTCTTAAAATATCTACCATCTTATTATCGTAGAATTCTCTTCCTTGTTCTTTCATTTACATGTTAACTACTAGGGGATAAGTAAAATTAATTCATAAAATGACTACACATTTTATAATCAATAGATTCTTCATTAAATATTACTTCTCTATTTTATTTTACGTTTGAACAAGGCGGTAAATCGAGTATTTATAAATAATCCATCATCTTATCGTTAATAAAATTCTTCATTAAATATTACTTCTATGTTATTTATTTATGTGTTAAATTACCAGAAAGTAAGTAAAACTAATTTAAAAATATCTACACATTTTACTGCCGATATTAAAATTACATTTCTTTATTTTATTTACGTGTTAAACTACAGGTAGTAAGTAAAATTAATGCTTAAAATATTAATTTCTTATCGTCAATATAATAATTCTTTAAACATTACTCCTTTGTTCTTTTTATTTTTATGTTAAATTATAAGGAGATGAGTATTAATATTAATGCAATACTTATTTATAAACATCTTTAATCGCTAATGTCGTAAAAAGTCAATTAACTTTTAAAGAATCCCATACTATGGTGAATGTGAAAATTGCAAGCAGTATTACACTTCTCATGCTTGGTTTCAGACGTGCGATCCTGAAATAATTGTTAAAGAAGAATTGTCTAGCGGAAATGATAATATTGATGAGTGTATTAATGAATTTCAACGTAAAGCTATAACGTATGAAGAGGTAATTGAATGGATTCCATTTGATAGACTGAGGAACTTTAAAAAATTGGTAATGAAGGTTTCGGTGGTTCAGTATTTTTAGCAGTCTGGTTGGAAGTCATACGAACGGTTGAATATAATGAAAATAGATGCATAAAAACGCGTAAAAATTATCTACAGTTGTACTTAAAACTTTATCTAATTCTCACGATTCTGACATTTTAAAATAAATAGGTTAAATTTCTATTTCTTAAATTTCAAGCGTTTAATACATGAAATTAAATATATTAATTCAAGTTTGTTTAATAAGTTTAAAAATCATATGAAGTGTGGATTGAACTAGAGATATATGGATTAACTAAAAGTATAGATAATATTGAACATCTTAATATTAAGGCTGAACCAAATTTTTAAGAAAGAAATTTGACGAACTTAGATGGGAAATAAATTACAGCGACTTATAGATATATCTTCAAATTTAGCAAAGAATCATAAAGATGGTTATATTCATAATGAGTTGAAATAAAGTCTTATATTGCAGACTTGGATTATCAAAAAAGATTAAAGAATATGCCTAACTTATAGAATTATTGAGTGTTATGCCATATATTGCGCCCGAAGTTTTATTAAACCAAAATTATACGTAAGCATCTGATATTTATTATCATGGCAAAAATGTCAACTGGTCAGAGACCTTTTGATGGTAACGAATTTGATATCAATCTTGTATAAGATTTGTTAAGGATCACAGCCAGAATTTTCCCCCGGAACTCCTAATTATTATATTGAATTGGATAAAAAATGCATTGCTTATCGCCTTAAAACTTTATCATCAATATAATTATATTTAGGGTGATAATAAACTTGACATAAAAGGGAAATACTCAGCTGCTGATGAAATTATCAAAAAATTACCGATTATTGCACAAAAGCATCCAGATTCGATGTACTGTATACGAGTAAAATCATCAATACTCGAAAAATAAAATTTCTAGGTAGTAACTCATATCTTCAACACTTCTTCAACAGTACTTATGCATCATTTATATTTAATTAGTTTCTAAGGAACCTGGACTTCCATTCTAAATTTATAACGAAATTGACTTCAAAGAGAAGGTTCAAGGTTTATAAGTTTATTACTTGTCAGAATATGATTAAATGCATGTACTCATTTAAGTTTTCTGTCATTTCGATTACACATTACCAAGAAGCCAGCAAAAAAAAAGAGACTCACATTTAACCAACAATTATTCGGCTTGCATTTTATAGGGAAAGAATCAGACTTACATATTAAATACCCTGCGCAATATAAGGCCTCCTGAGCAGTAACTACATACGAGCCTTCAGAATTACAATCAGTGCAGGAAATAATCACAGCCATTCCACCTTGTGATACACCACTTTCTATAGGTGAAAAAGAAATCCTAAAGCAATTGGACCTACAATTTTATTTAACATTGTCACCCCAATAAGCATCCAAACATTTATATATTTGACTCAAACACACCCGAACCATTCCTTTATTCAATATTTAGTAAATGGTATAACAAAAGTTTTTAGGTTCAATTTTAATAGCACGCGCACAAAACTAATTCAGAATAACTTACAATTAATTCACATTGATAAGTTCGTATTTAACAAATACATTAAACAAGAAATAAGGTTAGATCGAATGTGCGGTCTCTTCAGTGAAGTATTTCTACTATGCACAATGTATCAAGTCAATCTATGTGGATTGGTGAGAAAAAAAAAATACTAACCTGAAACAATATCAGATAATTTCACATTTATCAGCACAAGTATAAATGACGGGATCGATAAAATTGAGTTTGCCATTAAGTACGAAAACATTAGCCATGTTGATATAATATATCGCATATTATAGGAAAAACTGTATGCTGTCAAAAATCGATACGTATACAGAACACATACGGAATTATGCCTTAGTTTTCTGCAAATTTAAGCATACATGTATCCTGCACGTTTTTGCATCTGAGCAGCCTTTCCAATTCAAGCATATCTCTTTTCCTTCTTGCCATGATGCATCTGCCCAATTTGACCATCTCTCTTGGTATTTCGGTTTTTTAGTTTTTGTTATATCAAAACAATTGCCTTCTGCCTCAATTTTATGTTCTGTTAAAGTTAAATCCCTATTCATTACTAATGATGCACTACGTTTCTCATCATATGCTATCATTGCTGCCTATTGGTATTTAATGCATCGATTATATGATCCCAGTAGGAATTTAATTCTTGTTCGTATATTATTAGTAATGCATCTGAGTAGTTTTTAAATGCAAGTAGCCATTCAGAACTGTTACTAAATACTGCGTGGTGCATTCACTTTTTAATTATTATTAAGTCATCATCGGATTGAATCATTAGATCTTCATTTATATGTTTCGTATTAACCAGCATATTATTATATGCGAATTCTTGCAAGTTTGCAAATAGCCCACATGCTATAATTTGCTGGATATGCAGAGTTTATTAGGAAGCATTTCAATAACCTTAAATGCATCTATCTAGTTAGATATCCATCATAATCTTGTTTGCTCAGTTTTCTAGTGCTTGTTTATTTGAAAAGCCTTGTATTTGTGGTAGATTATTTATGTAGCTATAATATATTAAGGGTATTTCCTTGTACTGTAGTAATTTTTGTCTTAAATTGATTGAATTTTTGTGGGGTTTATTTATTTTCTCACTTTCCTGTCTTTCAGTTAATTGTGGTGCTTCGGTTGATTGAATTGCTCTACTAATTAAATTATTGAGAATTGTAGCTAATAGGTTATTACCTTGGTTGATGTTATTTTCATTTATAGTACCTATTTCTGTCATTCTGGTGTGGTTTGAAGATGTCCTTGATGTCGTTGCATCGATATTGAATTCTCTATTTGGTTTGAGTTCGAACTGATAGTCCTGTTCTCTGATAATTAGTTTTCATTAGTGTTAGTACTTGCTTGTTCTAATAATGTTAGTCTTTTATTTATGGTTTGTTGCAGCTATACGTTCCATTGTCTTTGTTGTTCAAATTGTTGGTCGATTGTTTGCTTGATAGTTTCTGTGAAAGTTGTGGTTGCTGTTTGCAGAAATTGGTCTATGCAATCTTTTAATTGTGTGGTCATTGCTAATAGTATTGTTATTGATTCTTGTTTTCTCATATCTTCCTGCTCTGATCTTCTGTTTCTTGTGCTAGTTAATCCTTGTTTATCATTATTTGCTTCTATGTTGGACCTTTTTTTTTTTTTTTTTTTTTTTTGTGCAAAAAATTTTTCGGGTGGTTTATAGCTATATATCGCTCATACAAACCTGCTTCGTAAGTTGTTTGCTATCAACTCCAGAATGTCAGTGCTTTGCAATTTATTTTATGGCATGTATAAATGCCTTGCTTAATATGACATATTGCTCGATACGTATCCGTAGGGATGTTAATCGGTTTCGCAGTAATTATTGGCTAATTTTGAGCAAGATTGGCATTTTAAACTAATATTCATTCAATAAAGTTATGGAAAAGTTATTTCCCTATAACAGTCTCTAATAGAAGTTTATTTGTTTTTGAATTAATTTTCGAGTAATTTAGATGGGACCGATTAGGGACCGAGAAGTGTGAAGAGAATTTTGTTGATCGGTCCCTAACCGGTCCTATCTAAATTACTCGGAAACCAATGCAAAAACCGATAAACTTCTATTAGATATTGTTATAGAGAAATAACTTTTCTATAACTTTACTTATCGGACGAAATTAGTTAAAAATGCCAATTTTGCATAAACCTTGCTCAAAGTCGGCTGATAATTACTACAGGACCGATTAACATCCCTACGTATCCGCATGCTTGCATGTTGTAAAGGTCTAAATTGACCCTCCGGAATTACTGCGCTTCGACGTAGTACGATATTATATTTTTAGTTGTAGATTCTTGATTAACCTGTTTATAGTACAAACCTGTATAATTAGAAGACTAGTGTAAATCCTTCCCCATAGTTAGTATGAAATGTGGTATATATGAAATATACGACAAAAGGTATATCGGATATGTGGGATAAAAGAAATATACGATAAAAGGAATATACGATATACTAGATAAATTAAATATATTAAATATTCAATATGTATTTTTTGAACATCGCTAAAAGTATAAAAGCGATGCCTTTTTACCTTCAATAAAATCATCTCAAGTTTGAGACAATTCGAAAAACCCGAAAATAACCCCCAAATACCACATTCGCTATCCCAATTACCCCCCCCCCCCCGATAATCAAATCCCGATCAATTTAAACAATAATCAATCGCCCCTTAGTTAGTCTTATAGATCCCCATTGTTTAAATCAATAACTAATCGCAAGAAGGACCAGATCACGTGCCCCGTAATCCTTCTCAATAGTATAAGAACCCAAAGGATTAAACCCCGAAGCAAGAGTAATAAAAGCCAAAGAACCCAAGGACACTTACCTAAAGAAATCCTCTCTGCAACCTTACAACCCGGACCAAATCCTCCACGCCGTCTTTCAGCCTTCCAACGTAAGGTTGATTGTTGGATTTGTAGTTGATTGTTTGTTTGTTGACCTACGAACCTAGGTGTGACCAAGAATCTCCGGTCTAGTTCCGTTCCAGAACCGGTTCACACCTTCTCAACGTACAGAACGTATAGTACGTATATTGGGATTTTTTTTATACCATAGTTTCGGAATATTCCGTAATCGTTTCGGAATATTTAGGAACTCGTAAATGTTATGGCCTAAACTTCAGAACTTATAAACAGTAAAATGACTGTCAAAATTTTAGCGTACAGTACGTACAGTATGTACAGTACAGTACGTATAGTACAGTACGTGGCACATCACTAAGTATAGTATATCTGGTATAAAAAACAATTTTTGTCTTCAGAATACTTCGGCTGAACCTTGCTCGTGTTTTATGTTCATTTATAGTTTAATCCGGAATTTTTTGTAATTGGTAATTAGGAAAAATTCGATTGTTGCTAATCGGGATAATTCGTGTTAATAAAAATTAATTGACTTTATTGGTTATCGCTTTCCGGTATTGGCCTATATAAAGTGATCGGCAACAATCTCGCGTACAGTACGTACAGTACGCACGTACAGTACGTATAGTACTGTACGCGGCACATCACTACATATGTGGCATTTATGGCATATCGGACACATAGGGCATTTGTGGCAAATCTGACACATATGACCTATCTGACTGATATGTCATATCTGACATATAGGACACATATTGGATATGTTCCAAATGTACCTACTAGTATCGTAAAAAGTATAAAAGCGATACTTTCTTCCCTTTTTAATAAAGCAACTCAAGTGGGTTCAAAAATAGTTGACTAAGAAATACAAACTTCGAAATTCGAGTAGAAGTGTTGTACTAGAAAAGTCTTGTTATTTAAAAACATTGTCATTGCCCGTGATAGTAAAATTTCGTATCAATTGTTAAACTGCCAAATCAGTAAAACAATCAATCGATCACCCCTAGATAGTCTTATAGAAAAACCCCTTTCGAATAAGAATTCCCGTTGTTAAATCTATAACCAATCGGAACGAAATTCAGATCACGTGCTACGTGATAAAACCAAAAGTATAAAGAAACCGAAAGACCAACCCGAAACTACTAAAATTAAAGACTAAGAACCAAACAACACTCACCTGAATAAATCCTCTCTGCAACCTTACAACCCGGACCAAATCCTCCACGCCCTCTTTCAGCCTTCCAACGTAAGGTCGATTGT